GAAAAATATCATGATTTTTGTGATAGTAAATGTCTATCTTTTCGATATATTAAAATATGCAAATTTTATTTCCATAATATGGAAAATTACAATTTGTACTGCTTATGTACACAAATAATAGCAATGATATTTTATAACAAACTGAATTTTCTTCAAGGCTAAATGGATAAGTGGTAAATAAATGTATATTAAGATAAAATAAGCAAACAAATGTGGAGATTTTGAGATCAAACTTGTGGAAAGAGTAAGCAACGACAGCTCTTGAAGCTTTAAAGTAATCACAAGAATATTCACTTTTGTAATGTTGTCATTTGCTGGCTGTTGAAGAACAATTCACTTTTGTTATAAAACTATTAACTTTATTTTAAGTCTTTTTCAAGTAAGTTTTATTAATAATAAAAATGATGGAGTGGTAATTTAATTTAAATATATAATATACTAGACTTTATTAATAAGAAATATTTATTATTAATAATATATATACTCAACTGATTCAAATAGTCTCAAAATAGCTATCAAAAATAGATTTTTTACAGATTGTCTAATATTTTAATTATTTATGCATGCAAGTATATTTGAAAAAAAATATTGTAGCATTATAATTTGACAATTTTTTATTCTCAAAAAGTAATCAAAAATTATTAATAAGAAAATTAATACGAAATGAATTATTGAAAAATTCAATTAAAGAATTTGAAATGAATGACATAAATAGAAAATTTTTGCTGGATAAAAGGATGCAAGAAATGGTTCAATTGTGGTCGTTTATTTTGCGTATAAATTTCATTCTCATAATTTTTTCCAATTTCGAACTATTTCTACAAATTTTTCTTCCTCAAAATTTCTGTAAATTTACAATATTTTTATCAAATGCGTACTTCATGCACGCTTAAAGATAACGTTGATTGTATTGGAAATAATTTAAAATTAACAAAATTTTACATAAAATATTCATTTTTACATCTGTAATTCCCATTATTTACTATAAAAATACAATAATAATTAATTTATCAAAGTTTTACTCATTATAATTATTAAAACTTTCATACTGAATCAGCTTAATTTGACATAATTTATGCAAATTTTTTAATATTTTAGAGTATTGTACCTGAATACTTTATAAATATTATTTTGTAAAAACAAAAATTGTATAATATATTTTATCATTTCAAGTCACAATTATATATAAAATTATTTAAATTCAATCAACCATATATGGACTAATTTAATTAAATGAATTACACTTTTACTGTTATGCTAAATGTGTTAATGCAATAATTTGAAACCAGCAAATTTGTTTAAAATTAAATTAATGAATTGGATAAAAGTAACTGTAAAGATAAGTTGTAAAAAATTTACTCAAATTCAATTCTTTACCAAATAAAATTGTAAAATATGTTCAAAATAAAAAAGATATTTAAAAAGTGCATCTTTAGCAAGCAAAGTTCAGTATGAAGAAAAACTATTACAAATTTGAGTAAAATGCTTTCTACGTGAACAATAATACATTACAAATTTGAGTAAAGTGCTTTCTACGTGAACAATAATACATCACAAATTTGAGTAAAGTGCTTTCTACGTGAACAATAATACATCACAAATTTGAGTAAAGTGCTTTCTACGTGAACAATAATACATTACAAATTTGAGTAAATTGCCTTTCTAAGTGAGTAATAATTTTCAAGTAATCCACTAATTATAATAATGTAATTACTTAAATTCCATTACAAGTAAACTGAGAATCACATCAATGATTGCAAACAACAATAGATGGATTCACTTACCGTACAGTACATCTTAAAGATAACTATTTAATAGAAAATATGGAAGATAAACTTAAAAAAGTTAGCAATCATCTTAATTGATAATAAAAATGTTTGTGCAACAGATCGAAAACGAGAAAGTTTCCATTAAAAATAAAAGTTTGCTATGAGTACAGTATGTAAACAATGCCATGCCCTATTTAGAGATTATTTTTAATACGAATTTGAAGTATAATATCGTAGTATTCTTATCAGAACTTTTACAATCGTTGTAAAAAACAAAATTTTGTCTAAATATGGGATTAAAGATGTCTAAAGGTTTGATAATATTCCGCTTTGCATAGATGAAAATAATCAATCAAAAGTGATAGAAGCTTAAAACTGTACAAATGAAAAAGATTAATCACCTTGTTGAAAATTTTTAAAATGATTAAATTCACTTCTAAATTTGAATCAAAATTTATAAATAAATAAAAAATGATAATAAGAGATGGAAAAATAAGAAGTAGAATAGAGAAAATCATTGCAGAATAATATTATTAGCCATTAAAGAATGCTGAAGGTCAAAGAAATTATTAACAAAAAAGGACAGAAATGTGGCAACGTTGAAGAAAACATCTAAAAATTATTCATATAACTGAACAGTGAGGGGTCATACATATGAAAGAAAACAGATGACCTTCAATTTACTTTCTTTTCATTTTTAATTTTTCAATAAACTCTGAACTTTAAATCTTTAATTTACTCAAATACTGAAATTAATTAGACGTGTTTAATGATACTTAGAAAAGATTAATTGAATTCACATACTCCAACACATGAATAAAAATGAAATGAACTGTTTTACATCAGATTGAAAAAATATCGCAATTTACTATATTTGGATAATTTTTGATATTTCTCAGTGAAATAAAATCCAGAGTTTTGGGAAATATCGTAATGCTCAAATCAACTAATAACTGAAAATAAAGACAGTAATATATGTCAAACTAATTAAAAATTACAAAAGTGAGCATTTAATTACCCTTTTTTTTTAAAAACTCAAGCAACTGAATCTACTTAGATTTGATATTTCTCAATAATCTCATAGGATGCATATCACATTACTGTACTTTTTATAAATTCATAATTACGAACAAGGTAATGTCAGCCACGTACTACCACAATTTTCGACGCTTATCATTATAAAAAACTTGACAGCCCCGACAAAATAAAAAATTTTTGTTATGAAGTCAACTGTATACGCAAAAAATATGCTATTAGACATGTTGCAAGCCTGAAATACTTGCTTGACTTAAAAAATTGACCTTGAAAGATCCGGCATGTCTTGAAAGTATAGGAAACGTGGAAAGGATTATGTGCTCAGTATTAATAAAATATATACATTTATTTACAAATGAATGAAATATGAACATTGGGACTCGTTATTTTCTGCACCATGAAATGCATATTGCACAATACAACAAAACTATACCTTAAACTACGGTATGTAATAAAATACAGCGATATGAACAAAACCGCATATCAAGTAAAGTACATAACCTAAAGCACGGTATAGCCGATATCGAAAACAATGTGCAACATTTTTAAATCATACAAAACATTAGAGCAAACATAAATATCACTGAAACAACCGTCCTTTGAAATAAATCTCAATGTAGCAATATGAATTTGGGTGAACTCTAATTCATAGTGCTAGGAATTGAGGCGATTTCGTATTCGCATATAAGCTCGCTTACGAAGCACATTTTGCCGCCAATTTATCACACCATAACTGATAACGAACAAAAAAGCACAAAATATCGTAAATGCAAAAAATTGTATTGAATGCTTGGTTTTATTATAGCACGGCCTTAATCCAAGCTGTTTACTGTACGTACAGTTCACCCTGTCATAATAACCAGTTTCCTGACAATAAACTGAAAATATCACAGAGATATCAGTTAATATGAAACATGCAAAATAACTGAACAAATGGAATAGATCAGATCCATTAAAAAAAAAATATTATGACCTTTCAAAATTCATATACTAAGTTTATCTGAATATATTATGGAAACAGGACTCAGTTACTCTAGATTCATTCTATAAATGACCCAATTCATTAAATGAACGATTAATTTTTTTTGATCCGCTTTTTTTCCAGGAAACAAGAATGAAGAAATTGAAACTCCAGCCAAATAAAGTCTAAAAACATATAATTCATTTAAATTGAGGGTCCGGTGATTCAAATCTTTGATCTCAACAGTAACAGATTCATATTTAAATATTTACTTTTTTACTTTTGTCAAACATGTAATACAGAACTGAGAAGCTAACCTGCTTTCATAGCGTTTCGTTCGAAAGCAGAACAAGAAATGCAATGTTCCAAAACCACAACCGGCTCGTTTTTATAACACATATGATCTGATTTTTTTGAGTCAGTTTCTTGTGTAGCCTTGAAATATTTTTAAGCCAAGCAATCAATTTGATGTGAAAGGATCTTTTAATGTGCTAACAAAAAATGTAATTTTGTTACTTTTTTTGTGACATTCTAAAACATAGAAGTAAGCTAACCAAATGGGTAGGTTGGGATGATTCACTATTATTCTTCATTAAATGCTTATTCCACGAAATAAACTTTTTAAGCACAAAGTCACTCTTGTGGACATTTTCGAACCGATACACACGAATGAATAGTAATAAAGTGACTCTGAAAAAAGTTCTATTTGTTAATTTTATGTATACTCAATTCATTTTTATACTAAGGATAAAGTGAACGAAAAAGTCAAGACTACCTATTCTTCTACACTTTAATGAGATAAAATATTGAAAAATAATCGAGAAATGAGCAGCGAACAATTTCTAACCAAAACTGAAATTAATTTATTTTCTTGTCTTACTTTATCTGTCACACAAATTTAAAGCAAAATTAAATACTAAACTTGCGAGCTTAAAAAGAAAAAAAAATATTTTAAGGAATAAAGTTAGGTTTCTTCCAGAAATACGAGTAACAGTAAAAACCAATAAATAAATGAATTAATAAATAAACACGTCAATGACTACTATTCTAACTACGTAATTTATAAACACAGAATGGAAATTGTTGGATTAAATTTAGAATTTGAATAACAGATAAGTAGAATTATGTAAACGATATAATCCTAAATATACAATAAAAGAAACAAAAGTAATCATAAATTGAGCAAAAAATCACTGGATATGTAAAATAATTGAACTGCTGAATGATTTTAAGAAACCTTACAGTGTGATAATGATACTGAATAGCAAGAACTTTCGACTGATACATGGCTCAAACGGAGTCTTCATGCAGTTACTGCTTAGGAAGCCAGTCCACATCACATGGGTAGAACAACATGAACGGTTTCTGAACAGCGACCTGAAATATATTCAAGTTCAGAATACACAAAAGGAATCATAAACAAATAGATTCCAATCACAATCACATTTCATCTGCGTATAAATCTAAAACGATCATATTACAGTAGGAATTACGGTAAATCACAGTACACTTGTTATTTTTTCAAAAATTCGTAGAGTACAGAGAAGTTATACATTTCTTTTCTTCTAATATATTTGAAACGAAACACAACATGAAAATAAGTAATAAAATTAAGAATTAGTCAAATTGCGATAATTCAGGTTAGTATTCATTTTGCTTTCAGATCCATTTCGAAAATCATAATTTTAATTAAGTACTCAAATACTGATAGATTTTAACTGTTGGAATAAAGTAAGTAATATTATCCATGTATTTCATGTCATTTATGTCATTTCATTTATTTCATTTCATTACTTCAGTACTAATTAAATGATTTGAGCGTGCAGTCTTAGTATATTATCATTCATTTAACATTTAACTATAAATAAATATTTATGCTCACTGAATAACAAATCTGAGCTCGGGACAAGTACTGCCAGAGTGCCGCAATGCAATCCAGCGCCAAAACAAATAAAGCGAAAATTAAAATTAACCTCCACATTTTTATTTATTCATGCTCACTGAATAATACTTTACTTCTCCCTTAATTTTTGATATATATATAAAGTAAGTAATATTATATATATCAAAAATATATAATATTACTTTATTCCAACAGTTAAAATCTATCAGTATATATATATATATATATATATATGTTTGCCAAGTTTTTATTTGTGCTCTGTATTGTACATTATAATGAGGAATGATTGTACTCACACGAATGTAAATTTCTAAATAGTTACTTATTGTTTTATTTACATACTTTATTATATTTCAGCAAAAATGTTCTGTAAAAAAAATACATTTTAAAGTTGTCATTTGAATGAGACCGTAATATTATGACGTTATCTATATATCTTTATAATGTAACTTTTTTGTACTGCAAGATCTCCAAGTTTTATCCACATATAAGTGGTAATAAATACTTTTGAACAAAAAAGATGACCAGTCATATCATAATGTAATTTTTATTATGAGCAATATATCGAATTTCAGAGCTTAGTTATCAATGTTATCAACTCGTAATTTGTGTTGCTTCTTTGCTAGATGTTCAAGGAAATTAAGGCGATGGTGTTCAACATCTTCTAACAATATTACTTATCGTATGGGTCTAAATCCTTTCGAAAATCATGCAAATCAAACTGCTATCATTCTCAACTGCACGACTAGGTTGACTTATGGGGACTTGTCAAAGCGTGTGGGTTCGATGGTAGCACTACTGCAGTCAGTATTCGGCATAGACGTATGTGAAATGTTAATAAACCACAGATTTTTTAAGTTTTAAATTGCTTTGATTTTGTTCTTACATCAATATTTTACGTCTGCGTACAAAAACAAATAAATAACTTGAGTGTAGCATACTTTCTTGCATTTAACTTGTTTTTGACTGATTTTAAGTATAGGTGCAATTCCTATTGTGTATTTTTCGACTTAAAAAAGAAATTTTTGGATTATTATTATTGTTTGTTGTTTCAGCGTGGCGATCGAGTACTATGTCGTCTCGAGAAATCTATCGATAGTTTAATACTCTATTTAGCAGTTTTGCGACTAGGAGCTATATATGTACCTTTAAACCCAGTTAATACGTTGTCGGAAACCATTCATGTTGTCGCGGTGATTCTACTCTTTTTCGTGCTATATTAACCATTATTCATTAATACTGTTGGCATTATTTACTAACATAGCGATCGGTCTTGATGACTTATCAAGGAGTTAGAGTATTCTCAATGTATCTACGAAAATATGATATGATTCATTGTTTCAGAATAGTGATCCTCATTTATTTGTTAGCTGTAGTATACAATATGATAATGTTTTTACGAATAAGGTGGAACATGTCATAGATGCTGGTCAAATATTCAGAGAAAGTGAAGCACAGAAACCTGATTATGGTGTGGAATGCGTAAAACCTGATGACATTGCATGTATTTGTTATACTTCGGGAACTACAGGTTTGCATAGGCGTCATTTGAAAGAAGTTATTAAGATTTATTAAATTTCATTATCAGGTTCTACGAGGAAGCATTTGAAATATGTTTAAGGCTTACCAAAAGGTGCGATGTTGAGTCATGGTGGTCTTACTTGGAATGCCGAAACACTAGTAGATGCGTGGCAGTTCACCCGTAATGATATATTACTTCATATGCTTCCATTCTGTCATGTACATGGATTATTCATAAGTCTCAATTGTACATTTTTTTCAAAATCCAGTATGGTTTTCAGGTAGCATCACGCTTCTTGTTAATATCAGTCCATAACGATATTGAACCCATGTTAGTTGAAGATGACATTTTGCTTTCGAATGCATGCTGTCATGATTTCTTCATGATGATACATTTAGCTTTTGTTGATGTATTACCTTTTGTGATGCAATAGCTCTGCATGTCCTGAGCTACATATTTTACAGAATGAAAATAAAATAGGTAATGGCTTTAAGAACAAATCTTTATGTAAGTAGTGAAATAATTCTCATTTCTGTAGTCTAAGAGTCCCATGTCTTTATTTTTAATTCTTTGAGTTTCAGCAATAAAATTTATAGGCCAAAATTTGATGTCAATGATGCTTTGAACTGGTTACCTCAGTGTACTGTTATGATGGGTATTCCAACATACTTCAGGTTTTATTCTTGTCCTTTTTCTAAAACATTCCTTTACTGTGAAGTAACAAGTTTCTTTTTTTTCCATCTGTCGATATATACATGTATTTGTATTATTAAAAATGTATTATAAAATCTGGTTCAAAAGCAAATAGCTTTGATAATAACTGATTAGATTTAGCCGTTTGATGCAAAATAAAAATTTCGATAAGAATATGACGAAAAAAATACGACTATTTGTGTGTGGAAGTGCTCCTTTATCTACAATTCTGTGGGAGGATTTTAGAAATCGAACTGGGCATGAAATATTGGAGCGTTACGGAATGACAGAAGGTTAGTTATATTCATTTGTTTATCAAAATGTTTTTCGAGTCCATTAATAAAGCTAGAACTAATCATTCACATAATTGATTATATTTTCTTGCAAAATACTGTAAATGTTTTTATTTGTAAAATGTTTTGATTTGTAAGATGTTTTTGTTTTATAAAATTTTCCTAATTATGCAAAGTTTTATTCCTTGTATTCATTGAAATCAGCCTGAAATCATAATTGCTTGCTTTGTTTTTCGTGAATAGTTAGTTTGAACTACAAAAAATCTATAAATATTGGGCTGAGTGTCGTTTCTTACTAATCATTGTTCTTGTAGCAAATGTTATAACAACAAATCTTTATAATGATCGAAGGCAAGGATTTGTTGGAAAAGTTTTACCTGGTGGCAAAGTAAGTTTAAATCTGTCTTTTTATTTCAGCCTTCTGTTTATTTTTTGAATAATTTGTATTCAACATTAAAAATCAAATTTGGTGACAGTCTTGCAATACTTTGCTCCATCTAAATGAGCACTGAATTGATATCAAAGGCAAACATGAAGAAATCCGAAGTATTAAGGCTCGATGATTAATATACACGTAGTAAATAATAACTCAGAACTAAATTCTTAAGCTTGTATTCAGCAATTTAGTCTTTATTCTTTTCTCAGATTCGTACAACTAAAGAAGGTTCAATACAAATTCAGCTTCCAAGTTTGTTTTTGGGTTATTGGAAAAATGAAAATGAAACACGAAAAGTTTTTACTGAAGATGGATTTTTTGATACTGGAGATATTGGTAGAATTGAAGACGACGGTAACTTTTATTGGTTTTCAGTTTTTAATATGTTGAGATCGTTTGAGGTCTAGCATTTAGTCAATTTAGTGGTAAAATCGAGAAAAATTTTCTGTTTTCGTTTGAAAGCATGTTTATGTAGTGCATATGTTATTATCAGTTAATTTATTTCATTTTTACAGCAGCAAAAATAGTAATCGTTTAGAGTAGTATTGGCATTTCTGTTTAACAGAAATTTTGATGTATGAAAATATAACATTCTTTCATTTTCAAGACATAAATATGCTGCACCATTACGTCATTATTTTGATTTTCTTATGTACCTTTTCTGATACTGTTTTCTTTGAAGGCTTCTTATCGATACAGGGTCGTGCAAAAGATTTAATTATTAGTGGTGGATTAAATGTATATCCAAAAGAGGTAGAAGATGCTATAGATTCTCTACCTTATGTTGTGGAGTCTGCTGTCATAGGTAAATAAGTGCTTAGTGCTTATTTAAAATCTTAGCATTCGTGCCAAAAAAGTACCAGTGAGTTCGCCATGTTGAATTATTCTGAAATTTTATCATTACACATTTTTCTTCAAATTAAAATAAAATACAGTTAGTGCTGACTGCTGCATTTTTGTTCAGAACCATATGCACTTATAAGAGTAAATGAATATGAATTTGTTATTTGAAACTACTTTTAATAATTAATTTTAATAATTCTGTAGAATTACTTGAAAAATTATCACACAGTAGTGATTCTCCAAAATCTAAAAAAGCTTTGTAATAACGAAAGACAGCGAATATGTCTTTTATTTACTTATTTCAGTACTTTTGCAGAAATATATTTTTTTATTCAGATAAAACTTTTTTGGCCTCTTGAAAGATGTTTTGAGAGAAAGTGCTTGTGAAATGAAGTGTGATGTTTAAGTAACCGATCGTATTTCTTTCAGACAATATATACTTCATCTCTGACAAGAAACACTGTCCGTTATTTCAAATTTATCGCGTGTTTTACTGAAATGTTTTTTGCTTCTAGGTGTTCCACATCGGGATTTGGGAGAAGCAGTTGTAGCTTTATGTGTACCAGAGTCAGGAATTCATGCATTTTTACACGAATCAGAAGCTATCTGCACTCTTCGTGCCAAACTGGCCAACTATAAAGTGCCAAAACGTTTTCTTTATGTTGATGAATTGCCTCGAAATTCAATGGGAAAAGTGCTGAAGAATGTTCTCAAACAGCAGTGTCGCAGTTTGTTTTAGGTTGAGCAATTTGATCCGACTGAAATTTAGTACCTTTGATGTGCAGTGCTTCGTTATGAATTGATATCAAAGACTTCCATTTTATATAATTTATAGTTTTGTAATGAAAAAAGTTGGCAGAAGAAATTTACATGACTTTGAAACAGCTTTTTAAATCTTTTTCACCTTAAAATAGTTTAAATAATGAGATTTTGATAACATAAAGTCCATTTGAAATAAATTGCTTTTTATAAATATTCTCACTTTGTCAGTCTGTGCTTTTTCTCATCTCTGTGATAACTTTTTTGAACTGTACTTTTTAAAATTATGAGCTTATTTTAGTTCAAATATAGTTGAATTCATCTAATTAGGATTAGGAAACTTGGATATCAACTGGAAGTTTTATAGATATCTACCCTGATTTTATATTTACTTTTTTTTCTATTCGCGAGCCTATTTTTTTTCATTACTGTAAGCACTTTTTTGAAGTATGATAATTACACTCAGCATTTTTTAAATGTCGGATGTCATTTTCTTTACTGAGAGCAAAGTTTTGTGAAAAACATATGCATATATCTCAATGCACATTTATTCTTTTGTGATAATCATCAGTAGTTACTTGATTTTTGATAGTATATCATCATCTTTGCTAGAAGTATGAAGTGGACAGTGATGACTGTCAATAACGATTGTTGACTGTGTTGTCAAGATGTCGAAAATATATTGTGCTGAAGTTGTTTATCATATGGAGTAGTAAGTTAACGGCACTATTTACTGTGGAAGTTATATTGACTGAGTACTGTTTGTCTTATATTTATAGATATAAATGTAGATTATAATTGGAAGCGAAATAGAAGGTAGACATACTCTGATACTATCATTATTATTATTACGTTGGAAGAAGAAATTTACATGACCTAGGATTACTACCAATAGAAATATTATTTAAATTACCAACTTTATTATTATTGTTTCTTCCCTTGGTCTTATCTCAACTAAGATCACTATTACTACGCTGAGAGTCTCTTTAAACAAAGGACAATCACTGGAAGTAAGGTTAAATGTCTGTTACTAGGACCCAATTTGATGTTATCCTTTTCCATCTTCCACCTAATATTGAAGAAAATGTGTACTGGTAGTAGAGTAGTGATTTGTCGGTGAGTACATGCATCAACGGGAGAAGAAATATCGCGAAAGGCAAGATTGAGCTCACCCTGACCTTGAGCTTGCGCTGCCATCATATCAAATAGTTACGTTTGACAAGATGACAAATTTGTAAGAAACTAAAAGCGGGCAGTATCCCTACTATTAATACATTTATTTTACGTTCCTGACAATCACAATGCATTTAGATTCAAGTAATACAGATGAAACGTTTAAAATAAACTTTGGCGAGGAATATTATTTATTAAAAAAATGCTTTTTCAGTGGTGGATGTGCAATATAACAAGGTGCGATTAGGTGAAGACAAACTTTAGATGGTATTATAACGGTTATAAACAAGATTTGGATTTACAGGTTGTTAATTTGAGAATAAAAATTGTACTCGAAAATGGAGATTTATCTAACCATATGAGATGGTTGAAGCAAGTTGGGTATGAGTTGATTTTCTTCTACACATCGTTTTTATCATTTAAATCTTTCTAATTTTGTTTCTATAAACTATTATTGTTGCATATTTCAGATCTCTTATTCAATGTTGTAAACTTTCAGCAGATGTAAATTTGGGTGATGGCCGAGTGTAATTGATTGATTAATGTTTGTTAATTTTCGTTAATTTGTCATTAGTTTCAATTTTGCTCATTGATTTGTGATCACTGATAAAGCGCAGTAAATTATTCAGTTAAAGGTCAGAGTGAAAGTAATTGGTAAGTAAGATTTGTATGTTGCAGTTAAGACGTAGTAACATTTCTTTCTTTTTAATTTACGGATAGCGATTATGGCATGTCCTGGTTCAGTTGTTTAATTGATAACTCGCCATAGATTTTACTGATAACTTTTACTGTTCATATGTGCTTCATTCTATTTGTAAATATGTTGTGATTTTATTTTTGTGTACGTTGGTGATAGTTGTAGTACAAAAATGTAAATCTGTGCTTCATTTAGAGACTATATTCATTATGTGTATTGTATGTTGAACTTTGACTTCTTGTGAGCATTCACTAGACACATATATGTATGGAAGCACTAAACGTGAGGTCTTCAAAGGAAGTGAAATGTCTTCTCTACTGTTGTAAAGAAGTTTTTGTGTTTGTATGTAAATTTCTACTCTCGAATATAATTAATTGTTGGAAACGGAAATGAGGGCTAAAGACGAGGTCAGTTAAAAGTTTTTATGGAAACATTTCTTCACTGAAAATGTCTGACTGCGTGATAATGTTGAAGAGACAAGAAAAGATGTGCCGAAGCTAAAATAAACTTGAGAACTTAGTTATGCTGTCGCGTAAGGAAGTTCTCTACATCTTGTTGTTGGAAGAGGGATATAGAATTGATTCTCAACTCTATTTAGAATGGATAAAAATTAATTGTTTGAAACGTGGGAACTTTTGCCTCCTTTCTTTACACATTATGATTTCATTCACATTGGTACTATTGTTTTGACTTGAAGGAACTATTTGTTGCTACGATTCACGTAGAAGCATTAACGGTTAATCAGTCAAAAATAAGAAGCTGTGATTATGATGTGAAACAGTTTTCAATTTCTTCTGTTAATTACTCACTCTGCACTGATGAACATAAACTTTTAAGGATTCTTCCTTGTTAATAAATTTAAGTAATCGATTCAACGTTATGCGTAAACAGAAAATACAAGCTGTCGTAAGCGAAGAATACAGGATGGCAATGTGAGGAGAAGGTAATAAGGTGATCATTATTACTCTTATTACTGAAAATTTTTTCCACTTTATCATTATCATTAGTAGTATTGATAATCGTAAGAATGAGTGATCTTTGTTATCGTCAATACGATGAAGATTTTATAATTAATTCAAAAAATGAGTCCTTTATACTGATAATGAATGATCAAGATCAGTCAGTGCAACTATTCTTTGTTCACTACTTATTTATTTATCATATAATGTGATAAAATTTGATTACATTAATTACGAATTATCATTATCTCTCGCTATAAAAATTACTTTTAATGCAAGCAATGAATAATGAATATATGCTTGGTTTGTACTTATTAATCAACATATTAATGCTTTTACTTGTAAAATCACGTGCATCTTACTTTCACTCATGCGTATGTATGCGCACGCACACGTACACAATATATTTAGACACACGCAAGCACTATTGTATACACTCAAATACATACACAGACACGTAATGAACAAAGTTAAACAGACACACACACACACACATACATTTGTATACGCATACACACGCAGATAGAAACACGTACATTGCATAGAATGCCGACATTTACACACATACTCTCACACACATACACACCCGTTTCACGTCACTTCTCTCTCTTCGTCTTCAACTTTTATTCCTTCTAACCAACTTTTGCTGCTTGGTATTGAAATTTGAACTATTTTCCTGCACCGTTCATCTTGCAAATTAACCGGCTGTAATCTTCGCACATACACACGCATACATACACACAGACAGACGTTATTAGGCAGACTAATATACAGACATATACAAATAGTAGAAAGATACATCTTAGAGGCGGTTGAACAACTTTTATTTGCTTAGAGTGCTCATTCTATTCACTCTTTTGTCAGTCTGGCAATGTTGTTATGGCTAGAAATTTTGCTAATACCATTGGTAAGGTTGAGAATTAGAGTAAGAATAAAAACTATGATAGGTGTGATAATAACGATGATAGATTGTAATGATCAGCTTTGATCGTGATGACGATGATAGATTGTAATGATCAGCTTTGATTGTGATAACGATGATCGAGGTGTTGCTGATGGCAATGGTAGTCAGTGGTAGCAGTCAAGAAGGAATTAATACTTTCTTTTTCTTCCTTTCATATACGTTTGCTTTCGTAGTACTTTTGCTTGCAATCATGGTTTTGCTTACAATTACAACTATAGTAGTAATGATGATAATATTGATGATATTTGATGTTTAGTAGTATGCTTGTTGTAAATTTTTATTTATTTGCTTGAATATTTTCATCTAAGAATTGCAATAAGTGCTTCTGCTTTCTTAACTTCAACTTCTTTCCTCACTTTATTTCACATAATTATAGTAATTAATACTTTCTTGAGTACTCAATTTGATCATACTATCAAATTCATACCCAATTGATTAATTATTTTTTTGATTAAGCAATATTTACTTGCTCTATTTACTATTATTTGCTAATTTTACAAAATTAATTTTATTTTTTCAATTTTTATGCTCACTTTTTTTCTAGCATTTTTATTCTGCAACCAATTTTATCTATCTTTTTATTCAGAGTAATTTTGAGTATTATTTCTGGCAATTGTTTTTAAAAATTTTGCAAAAAAAATAAATTGCAAAGTTTTAAAATCTTTCTCTTTCTACTTTTTTTAGAAAATCTGCCTTCAATGTGTTATTTTTATTTGGTATTACATTACTACTTATATTTTGGATTACATATATCATACCGAATTGATTTATTACGGGTCAGTTTCAGATGGAACCCACGAAGTCATGTATGTCATCAATAGAAATAAGCAACAAAAAAAAAGAAAGTAATTAAATAATTTAATTTAAGCATTTTTCCAATCCAAACATAAACTACAATACAGTTTAGCCTTCGTTACTGCATACACGTCATAAAATACCGTAATAGTCTAAATGTAGTATATGATGATTTTCTCGATAGATTGCATAATTTTGTTTTTTAATTTTATTTGCTCTCTGTATGAAAATTTTTTTGCTCATTCTTGTGAACATGAAATAATAAGAGTATTTGAATGTATACGGTAAATTTGAATTCTGTTGCCTGAAAATTAAAGATGAAAGTTTTGCCGAGGTGATAAATTGATACAAAGTTAATTGAAAGTCTTGGCTTCGTTATCATTTTGATTAGT